CGACGGACGGACGACGGACAATCATCGATCCTAAAAGCTCACCCTGAGCATGCTCAGGTGAGCTAAAAAAAAAAAAAGTCGAGCTAAAAAACAGTTTGAAAGTTACCTTGTCCTTCACTGACTGTTCTCAAAATTTACAAGGGGCATGACCTGTACATGATAAATCTCCACACCAACGTCAATGTCATTTTGTAAAAGTGTTCATTATATAGTTATTGGTCAGACAAGGTATGCTCTTTTGATGGAACAACAGATGCAAAATAGCATAAGTTCATTTCATTGAAAGTGGGCATAAATAGAAGTATAAAATCTTACATTGACCATTTCTCTGACTTCCCTTTGAAATAATCCAGATTTGTCTTAATTTCTGCAACACCCCACCAGACAGGTTTACCCTCATCATGTTTGATATCCATTGGTGGTATTTCAAAAGGTGAACACTGTCCCGACAAAAAATGACACCATGGCATTATCGTAAGCCAACATGGATCTTTGGTTGTCTTGGCAATACTTCTTATAAATAATGTAATTGCTTCAAGTAAAATCTCTCTAAAATAAAAAAAATAACCATTACAATATTTATTAGTGAAGCAAGAACTAAACTTGATCCTTTTTCTCCTTTAATATCAAATAGGGCTATTTTTATATAATTCTCATAAAAATGAAAGGCTAATCTGTACACCAACCTAATGATGTTAGTATTTTGAAAATGGACAGAGAATAGAATAAGAAAAATAACTAAGAGACAGCATTTATTACCCTTTGAAACAATTGAATCCAGTAAAGGCATTCGACTCCGAGTCGCTTACTTGAGATTCATTGCCAGGAAAGGATAAGACAGTTATGAGGTCACAATTGATATTTTTTTAATATTTGTAGATGTCTGCTACATAATGCTTCATAACAAATATCTAACTTTTTGGCATTGTTGTTTCACACAACAAGACTTAAATAGATATGTTATACTACATGAATCTATATAAACTCAGTCATCCTCTGGTCAATATTGGCCCCAGAAGATTTATATATATAATATTTGTAGAGGATTACAAAGTAATGTTACATTTAAAATATTTAAACTCTTGGCATTTTATTTTCAGGGAAGAAATTGTAAAGAAATTTTACATTTAACAAGTCTATGTAAAATAAGTGGCCCAAAATGTGGGTTCTTTTTATTCAAGGGGCTTGATTTACACTACTTTTGTAAAGGCACAAGATTCATGAAACTTTTGAAGAGGTCAACTAGGCAATGCTACATATAAAAACTCTGATCCTTGTATTTCTCCACTACCACATTAAATTTTGTGTGTTTGTATACTGCAGTCTATGTATGGCATGTGTGCCCCTGTTAACCTCAAAATCATGGTTATTATAATTTCTGTAGAAAATAATTCAAATTGATAGCACATGGGAAATATCAAAGCTATGTGGTTTAATTTAATAGTACAGGAGATAAAATTTAACGCTTTGTTGTTTATATTATTATTACATAATGCTACATAAACCTCATGGTCGGCCAAATTTTACCCAAATGTCATAGTTTCACATAAAAGGACTTCAATAATTGTTCCTATCTAATTTTTACATATCAAGGCAGAGGCATAGGTCAATTTTTGAGGAAGGCCATAACATGCATTCTAAGCATTGTCTCATTGTATGTTCCATTTTCGCCAAATAGTTTAAAATTCCTTCTGTCAGTTCAAAAATTTTAAACTGGACACAAATTTTGAAATTCATGGGTATTGTGACCTTGATTATGTTGACCTGAGGAATAACAAAACTGCCCTATATAAATTGTCTACTTATGAAGCAATTTTAATTTTCTTCCATTGCCTCAAGATACAGAGTGTACAAAAAGAGTTTTGAATAACCTGACGGAAGACCAGGGGCATAACAAAATATGCCATTATCTGGGAAGAGGCTTTCATTTAAGTGTTCTCCTTCTTGGTGGGATATTTTTTAATTATTTTCCCTTCTTTAAATTATGAAAATCTCTGAACATATAACATTTTTATCATAAATTAACAAAAGCTACTGAATCAAACAACAATTCAAACACCTTTTCCCAGAAAAGTATTTGTCCACTAAACAAAGGTCAGGGCATTCCTTTTTGTCTGTATTTACTTCAAGCAGCATGGCCTTGGAAATTGTGAGCACACTTTTTTTGTCAGGCAGACCAAGCTCCAATGCTTTCATAATATACAGAAAGTACATGCTTAAAAGTGTTGCTCGCTCTTTTTTCTCTCTTGTTTCTGATGTTTGTAGCTCCTTGAGGTTACATTGTTTCATAAAATAGGACACTATATAGCTCCCCATCTGAAAAAAGAGTGGAAATATAGAAAAAAAACACAAATTCTTATCTTTAAATAGGTCTATATTTTATATATCATTTTTTATATAATTTAACTACAATATGCCATCGCATTAATACAGTACTAAATAGTTGGGACAGATGAAGTTTTTTTTATTTCTATAGAATTGAACTCGTATTTTTGACCCCATTGCTATAATCTGTACCATCTTAGTAGAGGTCCACAAGACAATGTCTTGTGCGAAATATGTGCTCTAGACCTTGTGGTTCTTGACAGTATTTTTTTTTAATTCTTATTAATCCTTTTGGTTGCCTTGGCAACCAGAGTTCTGCATGGAATAAGATTATTTGAACAATCTTTGAAGCCCTTCACCTAAGGAACAATCCTGGCAGGTTTGATTGACATTTGATTTCTACTGATTTGTTATATACCACCACATTGAAGAATTGTACAACTTCACATGCTGTAAAATTTGTTGTTTCTAGCTCACACACATTTAGGATACACATGACACAACATTTTGGTACAGTTTTTACCAAGTCAAGTGCACTTTACCTTCAAATTCTGATTAAATTTACAAGCAAATCCCCAGGTGCACAACAACACATTCTGACCAATATTTCTGTAAAGTTTCATGACTCTACGGCAAACATGTTTTCGGCTACATGAGACACAAGTTAAAAATTGAAAATTTTATTTAAATTAAGACAATAATTATACAAATAATGAATTAGTCTACACGGGAAACCCCAGGTGCATAACTAAACATGCTGATCAACATTTCTGTATAGTTTCATGACTCAATGTCAAGTACTTTTGGCTACTGCAACACAAGTTGAAAATTGCAAATTTTAACAAAGTCAATAGCAATAACCCTACAAATAACAGAAGAAGCCCAAGATGCACACCTTTACATACTGATAAAAATTTCTGTCAATTATATGACTTTAGTTAAATCCTTTTTGGGCTACTCACAACACAAGTGGAAATATGCCAAATGTAAACAAGAGCCTGTTGAACCCAGTGATGCTCCCCGAATAGGTTTTGGGCACAGGAATTAAGGTATACCTCTTGTAGTGTCAGAGTTATGTCACAGACAAAGTTAAAAGTGTAAAAACCACCAGAATGTTGTGCACGACACATTGTCTCAATATGATGATCATTTCTGTGAAATAGTTGTGAAATCCGACTTTAAATAACTTAGTTATGGTCCAGACACAATTTTGCTCTAAGGTCATGCTGTGACCTAGACCTTCAAGGTAGTGACCCAAAAGTTGCATGTGACACGTCAATTCAATATGGTGAACATTTCTGTGAAATATCTTTAAAATCTACTACAAACAAGAGCCATGCATGTCAACATGGCCATCCCCCGCCGAATGTGTTTGCTCAATGGAAGAATGTATATGTAGTAGAGCAAAATAATTCAATTTTAAGAGGTCTTGAAAACTGATGGCTGAAGTGATTACAGATTTGAAACCTATGTGAATAATGATGGCTGAAAATAACGTAGGACAATAACTGAAAAATAATGCAGGGAAGGTTATCATTCTTGAATGCTGCACCCCTCCTCAGTAAAATCTATACACCTATGAAGTTTCAAGTTGATACCTCAAATACTTTTTGAGATGAGTTCCGGACAATATAGTATGAAAAAGAACAAAGGGCAATAACTCAAACATTATATAGGGAAGATTTATCATTCTTGTGCACTGCAGACCTGACCTGAGTGAGATCTATGCACCTATGAAGTTTCATGTTGATATCTCAAAGTGAGTTATGCTTTGGACAAAAATTAATTTTGAAAAATAACAAAGGGCAATTACTAACAAATTATGCAGGGTAGAGTTATCATTCTTATGCACTGCACTCCTCCTCAATGAGATTCATCCACCTATGAAGTTTCAAGTTGATACCTCAAATACTTTTTGAGATAAGCTCCGGACAAAAATAGTATGAAAAAGAACAAAGGGCAATAACTCAAAAATTGTATAGGGAAGAGTTATCATTCTTGTGCACAGCATTCCTCCTCAAAAAGATCTATCCACCTATGACATTTCATGTTGACATCTCAAACCTTTTTGAGTGTAGCTCCACTCAGGTGAAAAATTATGTATGAAAAATAACAATTCTTATGCACTGCACACCTCCTGAGTATGATCTATGCACCTATGAAGTTTCATGTTGATATCTCAAAGGTCTTTTGAGTTATGCTCTGGACAAAAATTAGTTTTGAAAAATAACAAAGGGCAATAACTCAAAAATTATGCAGGGTAGAGTAATCATTCTTGTGCACTGCACTCCTCCTCAATGAGGTCTATCCACCTATGAATTCAAAGTTTCAAGTTGAAACCTCAAATACTTTTTGAGATATGCTCCAGACAAAAATGTCGGACGGAAGGACGGACATTCCTACCAGAGCTACATTATGGGGTTTTCTTTTGTTATTTCTTTTGTTCTTTTTAACCCCACAATGCAGAAAATAACCCCACAAAAGAAACGAAATGAATGACATCAAAGACATCTATTGTTATGAGAACAATAGATCAAACCCCATACTGTAGCTCTGGTTACGGACGGACGGATGGACCGACGGAAGGACGGAAGGTCGGACGGACGGAGACTATTTCTATATCCCCGCCCCCTTTTCGGTGGGGGATAATAAGGGAGTTATGGGCCAGACACAATTTTGCTGCAAGGTCATGCTGTGACATTGACCTTCAAGGTAGGACCCAAATGTTGCGCGCGACATGTCGTGTCAATATGATCATTTCTGTGAATAAGTTTTAAAATCCGCCTTCAAATAACAAAGTTATAGGCCAGACACGATTTTGCTGCAAGGTCATGCTGTGACCTTGACCTTCAAGGTATTGACCTAAATATTGCACGCAACACGTCGTCTCAATAAAGTGATTATTTCTGTGAAATAGTTTTAAAATCCTACTTCAAATGAAGAAGTTATGGGCCAGACAGGTTTTTGCTGCAAGGTCACCCTGAGACCTTGACCTTCCAGGTAGTGACCTAAATGTTGTGCGCAACATGTCGTCTCAATATGGTGATCATTTCTGTGAAATAGTTGTAAAATCCGACTTCAAATAACAAGGTTATGGGCCGGACACAATTTTGCTGCAAGGTCATCCTGTGACATTGACCTTCAAGGTAGCGACCTAAATGTTGCATGCGACACGTCGTCTCAATATGGTGATCATTTCTGTGAAATAGTTTTAAAATCCGACTTCAAATAACAAGGTTATGGGCCGGACACGATTTTGCTGCAAGGTCATCCTGTGACATTGACCTTCAAGGTAGCGACCCAAATGTTGCGCGCGACATGTCTTCTCTCTGATCCCCATCACTGTGTGATATGTTAAACAAATTTCTTTTAAAACATTTCAAGTTATTTTCGGGAAAAGTATTACTGTGTGTGATAAAGAGAGATGATTAAAAAAACTAATTGATTTAGGATTTTTCTTTTACACTGTACTTCCTCAACCTAGTCTTTATATCTATGTGAAGTTTCAATAAGATATTATTGACAGGCTTTTATTCATACTGGAGACAAGTTTTTTAAAGAAATTATATATATCATAAAGGAAGATAATTGAAAATGAAGCAAGGTAGTATAATGGTTTCAATACACTGCAATTCTTCCTACTAATTTACCAGTCTATCATTATGTAAAATTTTAATTTAATCTCTTCAACACTTTTCAAGTTAGACAAGATTATTTAATATTTTTAAGAGAGATTTTACAAAGTAAGCAAATTTGTATAGTTAAGGTTCTTTGACACTGTACTCTCTTTAACATGTTTCTACAACTGTTTGAAGTTTCAATGAGATTTAATTGACAGTTTAGAAGTTATAAGCCTCATTTAAAACAAGAGGGCCAAGATGGCTTTAGCTCCCTCATCTGACCCATCGAACTCATCCGAACAATTACCTAGACAAGCCTTCTGACCAAGTTTCATGACAGGCGAGTCAAATATGTGACCACTAGAGTGTTAACAAGTATTATCCAAATTTGAGCAGTGTGACCTAGTTTTTTACCCCATGTGACCCATATTCATACTTGACATAGATATCATCAAAACAAACTTTCGATATTTGGATCAAAACAGTGGCCACTAGAGTGTTAACAAGATTTTTCTTTTTCTAGCTCCTGCGAGCTAGTTTTTCATCCGAGATTACCCATGTTTGAACTCATCCGAGTAATTACCTTAGGACAAGCATCCTGACTAAGTTTGATGATAATTGAGTCAAAAATGTGACCACTAGAGTGTTAACAAGGTTTTCCCTATTTGGGCGGTGTGACCTAGTTTTTGAACCCAGGTGACTCATATTCCAACTAGACCTAAAAATAATCAAAACAAACTTTCAAACCAATTTCCAGGATATTTGGATCAAAACAGTAGCCACTAGAGTGTAAACAAGGTTTTTTTTATTTTTAGCTCATGTGAGTTTTTCATCCGAGATGACCCATGTTAGAACTCATCTGAGCAATTACCTAGACAAGCATCCAGACCAAGTTTGATGATAATTGAGTTAAAAATGTGACCACTTGAGTGTTAACAAGGCTTTTCTATTTTTAGCTTCTGTGACCTAGTTTTTCATCCAAGATGAAACATGTTCAAACTCATATGAGCAATTACCTAAACAAGCATCCTGACCAAGTTTGATGATAATTGAGTCCAAAATGTGACCACTAGAGTGTTTTTCTATATTTAGCTCCTGTGATCTATTATTTCATCCGAGATGACCCGTGTTTGAATTCATCTGAGCAATTACCTAGACAAGCATCCTGACAAAGTTTGATGATGATTAAGGCAAACATGTGGCAGCTAGAGTGTTAATGAACAAGTGTGCACGGACTCGAATGACGGACGATAGACATTCAACGATCCTTAGAAAACACACCCTGAGCTTGCTCAGGTGAGCTAAAAAAATCCAGCATAAAAAAGGGGAGATTAATTAACATGAAAGCCATGATGGCCCTTAATTGCTCACGTGAGAAGATGATTCAAAGATGATTAGTGTGCAGGGGAATATCTATGAAAAGAATAAAGCTGTAGAATTGATACCTTTCATTGTATTGTATATAAGGTTTTACTTTTAATTTTTTAGCTCTGGCAATCTTTAATAGTAGACCTGAACTATTATAGGACAACCTTAAAACCATTTATTTACAGCATCGTCAATATTGACCCCATACTTAAGGAGAAGATGTTGTTTAAAGGATTTCTATTTTAGGCTCTTACAGCCATTTTGTTCAGTAGACAGGAACCATATGAGCAATTTTTCTAGAAACCTATCCATGTATCATTCCTGTATAGTTTCATAAAAATTTAATCTGCCCAGTATTATGTACTCCAAAGATCATTTATTTTGTTTTCATAAATATCTTAATTCTTTTCCCTGATAAAGGCGATTTTTGCCATCTTTGTTTATGATAAGTTTACAGATATAATAATGCCAGACAAAGAGATCTTATAAGAGCATTCAAAAGTATATTTACACAATTTGAAAACTCTTTGAAGTCCAGCCAGCATTTTCCATCAACATAATAGATCTTCCTCATACATTCTGTCAGCATTCTAAGTTGGAGAACAATATCATCTATCGAAAGGTAGTTTTTATCATTTTCAATGAGGTCTGGGAAAAATATATAAAAAGCCTTCTCTGCATGCTTGATGAAGTCGTCCTTCTTCCATTTAAAGTAGTCAAAGAATTTGTCCTTCCATGACTTTGGTTCGTGTTCCACAAAACCATCAAACTGATGCCAGAGGTCTTTAAATAAAAATAACAATAGAAAAAGTGAATTTCTTACTACATGAGTTAGTCAGATATTACTATAATCTAGAAATTGTCAAAGTATTGCAAGTACTATCCGTTACAGCCCCAAAAGAAGCATGTCAGCAACATTGTGAAAGGCCGTGGCCTTTCAATTATGCCATTGTGGAACACATGACTGAACTTTTGAGTTCTTACATAAATCTTGAAGGTTTGTCTGTATCATCAACATGTGTTAAGATTTCCTGCCTTATAAGAAAATTATGTTTATCAAAAGATCAAATTTTTTCTGGATCACTATGCACAAATATTGTTTCAACTTTGCTTGATTTTCAGTAAAGTTGTTTGAAAAGCCCTGGTACTCATGATACAATTTTTTTCAGAGGGCAAACCTTAAAACACCTCTGGCAGTTAGGGACTAAAATGACAATTTGATGAAGATCATTTCCATATTTCAAATTTCAAGGACAAAATATCTGGTACATTTAAAGTCCTAACTGAAATAAAAGACTGCCATTAAAAAAGAATATATGGTCATAAAGTTATAGATAGATCCAAATATATTGTTATTTTTTTTAAATAATTCAATATAAAGGACTTTTCAAAAAAAGAAGAAAAAAACAAAAAAGATGTGCATATAAATCTTCATACTGCCGTTTATCAAAATTTCAAGTTTCATAAAAGTGTTTTCACTACATTTGAGTTATTAGATCTAGTTTTTGTGGACAGACTGATGGACAGTAAAACAGAGGACAAACCTAAAGTCCTTTCACGTTTAACCAGTAGAGTTGTAAAGAATTTGACAGGTTACATGGTCAAGTATAAATAATTTCAAGCTTACAAAATAGTTGTTAATGCCCAGCTAGTGCTTTAAATGTATATAGGTAACAACCATTTATACATAGTATATTACCTATCTAGTCCTCTTAACAAATTAATAAAAAAGTGCAATGTTTTTTTTTGTTGTTGTTGTTTCTTTTTTGTTTTAATTTTTTTTTTCAGAAAAATACCAAACAATTTATATATTAATAATATTATATGCCATGTCATACATGTAACTGACATTATATAGTCAATATTCACAATAATTCTAAACCGTTACTTTACTATCTTTGTTTCACACAAAAAATCACTATTACAAGAGCAGTAATTTACTGCATCTTAATCATTTGCAAGTCTCTTAATTGTTTTTTTGCATGCAAAAAAGATCTTCTGATCTCATCTTCAAATTATAATAACATATGTTATGATGTAAGAATAAACTGAATTGTAAAAAAAATCAACCTATCCTTTTCAGCTTCAAAGTAACAGAGAGATCACGATCGTAGCCTTCACCAGCTTTATAATTTTTCATATAATGCTCCCAGTATATCTTCTCTGGTTTGTCATGCTTGATTATGATATACTTATATGGTATGGACTCCCCCCCGAACAAATCGGGGGGTTTGGGAAATTTTTTTTAATTTCCATCTCATTTAAAATAACCCCCGAAAATTTCCCAAAAATTTAAATTTCAAAGAAATTTTTCTCCTTCCCCTTTTTTATAAATTTCCCAAAATTTTTTGTTTTAAAGGTTAAGGGCACTGGAAAAATTTCACATTGGGTGAAAAGAAACTCTGCCCCTAGTAATTTTTTTGAAAAACTTTTTTAATTTCCAATAAAAAATTTAAAAGTGTACAAAAGATGACTACCTTTTTGGAAAAACAAGACTTCCAAAAAGAAAAATCCCCCAATGACAAAATGCCCCTTTTTTGCCCCTTTAGTCCAAAATTTTTGTTAAAATTGGTATAGAAACATGCATAAAAAGGGGACATGGAATTTAATAGTGGCCCCCAAAACAATCTACTAATTTTACTAGTTTTCGCCCCAATTTTTTAAATTTTAAATATGAAAATTTTTGGGAACTAAAGGGGTTCAAGAGAAAAAAGCAAAACCCTTAACCAATTTTTTAAAAAGACCTTTTAAAAATACCTTTAAAATTTTAAAAGGGGTCTCTTCTAAAGGGGTGATCAATTCAAATTTGAAGCACAAAGAGTTGATAGGAAAAATAACCTTCTGAATTAAAAGGCCCCTGTTTACTTTTGACCTTTTTAACCTACAGATACCAAAAACAGTGGACTTTGAGATTGATTTATTCAAAATAAGGGTTTGGGAAACCATAAATTTTTAAAAATAATAAGGGAAAAATTTTGACTTTAAAGGTTTCCCGTGGGCCTTTTTAACCCTTTTACTAAGGGACCCCAAAAACCAAAAAGGGGGCTCTATCATTTTTGACCAATCAGGATGTAAAATTGAGACTTTGTGGGAAAATTGTTTTTTAAAAAAAAGAAACGGAAACCATTTAATTATGAAAATTAAATGCCCCTTTTGACCTTGAAACTTTTTACCTAGTGACCAAAATCAAAGGAAAATTGGGCTAGGGTATGAACCCAAAATGAACACTTTTTGAAAATAGTTTTCAAGAAAAAACGGAAAAAATAACCTTTAAAAACCCGTTTGGCCCTTGACCCTTTAAACTAGTGACCCTTAAATCAATGGGGGTCATCTTAGTTTTTGAAAAATTAAAGTGGGAAAATGAAAACTTTGTGATAAAAAGTTTCCCAAAAAATCAGCGGAAACCCAAATGGTCTACCGAAAACAGAAAAAGGAAAAGGGCCCACTTCAGAAAACAAATACCCCCCTTTTTTAAAGGGATTTTCAACAAGGGCAAAAGTGACAATTGGTTTTCTTTTTTTTTAAAATCATATAAGGGTTGGGCTACTATTAGTTAAAAGGCATAGTTAAAAAACTAAATTTAAATTTTTCCTTTTACTTTTCATGAGACGGGTCCAATCCCTTTCCAAACCCCCCATCTCTTTGTTTCCCAAATTTCTTTGAAAAAATTTAAACTTTTCCCCGGTTTTAAATTTGAAAAATTCATTTTAGAACAGAACGGGGAAACTTGGGTAACTTTTTATTTGGGTTCCTAAAGGGGTACAATTATAAATGTTTTTTTACTGTTCATAAACTACTTTAAGGTTATCAATTAATATATGTATGTTTTGGATAATATAGCAATTAGAACAAAAATCTAACCATGTACACAAATACATACAGTATCTACAACAAAGTAAAATCATAACTGATTTTCTATTATTCAGTGTTTTACAAAAAGTGATATTAACATTATAATAAGCATATTACATTGGTGGCAATTACAAACTGGACTATTTAGGGAACAATAACTTTAAAGTGAGAACAAAGCCTTGCCATGCTATTACTATACATGTGCAGTTACCTCAGAAACTGATATTCCCAATTGCATTGGCAGCGAGTGACTGATTGTTTTTCTTGTGTATTATATATTAACAGTCTCTTTACTTTTTTAATGATAATTAAAAAAAACCCCCCGACCCCCACCAAAAAATCAAAACAAGTGGAGGGGCCCCCTTTTTAAACCCAGAAGAAATAGCCCCAAATTAAAAAATCGCAAAAAATACCAGATTTTAAAGGTAATAAGAAAAAAAAAACCACTGGGGAAGCAATTTTATCCAGAGCTTTTTTTTTGAAAAACTGATAGGCCCTCTTTTCTAAAAATAATCCAAAATTTTTGCCTACCTCTTTTGGGTTTTCACATTTTTTAGTTTTTACTATATACATAAAGTAAAAACAATGACCCCCCGGGTGTGGCCAATTTTTATCCTAGGGATTTTTTTGCAAATTTTGGGAACATCCCCCAGAAGATGTTTTATGCCAAAAATAATCTAAATTTCTGCTTTTTTAATTTTTTTTACTAATACTATAAGGGAAAACAAGAACACCAATTTTTCCCGGGCTTTATTTGAAAAAACTTGGTGGGATTCATAATGTGTTTATGCCAAATATCTGAGCTCTAGTTCTTTCAGTTTTTTACTAGAAGATTTTTTGTAAAAAAAATCTTTTTTTTTCCATGGAAACCCCAGAGTTTTTGTGTGATTTAATTTTTGAAAAATTTTTTAAACATGGAACAACCGGGGGGGTTTTGGGAAGTGGTTAGGGGGAAAGGGAAAAAAAATTTTCAAGACCCCGACGGACAATGGACCAGACAATGGGCCATCACAAAAGCCTACCTTGAGGGCATTAAGCTAAAAACATTAATATTTCTAAATTAACAACTTATTTGCATTAAATTTCAAATAATACAGATGTTAGTCAAGTTCCTAGTGGCAACTCTTCAGCTTTATTTACGAAAAATGCAGTTGATGAAGTATGTTTTACTTACTGTAAGCTAGATGGACACATGATTTTTAGAAAAGACTTGAGTGGGGCAGAATATTTTAGTACAGAGACATCTTATTTGCATTGATGGTCCCATTTCATAAAGAAACTAGATCACATTTTGTAAAGTTATGTTCGTTAAAATTATATCAGTTATTATCTACTTAAAAGAATGAAATTATTACCTTTCTGCTGCCTTGTGTTGTTTCTCACCAGATTTTGGTTTATTTGACTGTAAAAATAAACCAGATGTGTCTTACCGTTTGTTGCATTTACAAAAATTTTACACACTGATATAATTATAAGCAAGACTGTGTGTTTATTGAAAATTAATGAAGAAAATTTAAATAAAAAGAAATGAAAAAGAAAAAAAATTTTCTTTATTTTCACACTAATTTTTCGTACAATTACCCATAAAAAAACAACCCACTACAACATTAAAATATTTTAACAATTTAAATTGGTAATAAATGTTGAAAACAAAATCTTATATGACGAAGCCCCCATTGGGGTAATTGCATAGACCTGTAAACACTAAAAAAATTTTCCCAGACAGAAAACCCCTCTTCGGGGAAAACATAAAAATAAAGGGCCATAATAATATAATTAAATTTAAAAATTATAAAAAAAAAGGGACTTTTAAAAAAACAGTATTATAAGATAGTAAACGGGAATCATTTTAATACGTAAAAAGAAAATTTTCAAAAAAAATAATACCTGTTTTTTTATTTTTTTTGTTTTTTTTTCCTTTTTCCTTTGAGTCATACTTCTAGTTGTTTTTTTTGTTATTTTATAACATAGCCCCAATTTTACTGGTATCTTCCCCCCTCATCAAGGCATTCGTTAAGAAACTTTTCATCGGGGATCCTTTTTGCTGTTAAACTTCATTTTTTTTTTTAAATTTTCTCTTTTTGCTCAGTTGTGGCCCTTTTCATCGGGGTATCATTTAAAGTGAATAGACTTTTTTCATAAGGTGTTTTAATTTCATTGCCGCCACTTGATTCCGATATTCCAATGGATCTATGAGATCCAAAGACCATTTCCGATTTAGCTGTTTCTGTACTTTTATTTTTCTGACTTCCCTTTTCCTCATCTGTAATCGACTTTTGTTTTAAACAGATATGCACTCTCAAGCCTTTTTTAATGTTCGCTTCATTGCTTGATGCTCCAGTTTTTTATTTTGTAATCTGTTCAAGGGAATCTTGCTTTTTACTGTGTCTCTTGGCTTCTTTTCAGTTTGCATCTCTGCATTGTCCGTGTTTGTTTTTCTTTTTTTTTTCATTCTCTTTCTGGTTTTTGTTCGTTTTTAAACCTGTCCTTTTTATTTTTTTTCAACAAGCACAATTCTTCATTTTTTAAAAATTTTTTGACGTTTCCCTTTAACTGCCTTTTCGCCAGTTTTTTAAGTCCAAAATTGTTAAGATTTTTTTGCTGCCCCTTTTCCATATGACATCTTTT